GTATTCATTCCAGGCCTGTGTGTCTTCAGCATTATCAGTGAGAGCCAGCACAGGTTTGTCTGTCTGCAGTTCATTCCTCAGCCTAGACAGGAAGGAGATGGCCCTCTTCTCTGCCTCCGTCCCTTCCTGATCAAACACAGGAAGTTAAATCTGCTAGTAGATGCATGATTTACTTGAAGAGCAACATAATAAATCACTGAACACTTAGTAACAGAAGATATATATATATATATATATATATATATATACCTCGCCATATTCTTTATAGAAGTTGTCCTTATTGCGGTGTAATGTGTCCACCACTTTTGTGAGTATAGTTGGCAGTCTGTCTCTCACAGTCAGATAGGCAAAGGACCTAGAAACGGTAAATACATTAAATATTTTAGAATAAAAATCATTCAGAATAAACATTGTCAAGTTTGTCAATAGACATAACCTAAATTTACATTACTAGCACTGCCAATTTGATAAATAAGAGAATTCGAAATACATAAAATATAGGATTATTTTTATTGATTGTCACGTAGTAGTGTGGTCTTTGTAATCAATGGGTCGCAAAAGCTCGTTAGTCGACTATGTAGACAGTATATGTAGACATATATGCCTCTGCAGCTGTACATGACATGACACCATTAAACAGTTTCAGCAGCTTTTAAAACACGACCATTGTAGGCGGTCATGCTTTCATTGAAACTGAGTAACACGTAAAAATACGACAGATACCTCGCTGTAGCCTAATTCTACATTAAAGTCGTAAAAGGCTAGCACGAAAGAATAACTATATTTATGAAGACATACCCCTCAAACTTAGCAGAGAGCGACTGCGGGGGCAACATTCCCTCTGCCTCCATCTTTGCAAACAGGAAGAACTCGTGAGGTGATTTTCAACAAGCTTTATTTTAGAACGGTCGATGAACAATCACAAGGTAGTATACTTGTCTAAAATACAGTGTGTCTCTCATTCTCATATGGCGGGAGCACATTCAGACACAAATGTAAACATCATATTTTATATTTTATCAGTAATCATACGACAACTTTAAGCTGTCAAAACATCTCTTGATCAATGACACCACTGACCTCTAGTGGGCATGTAAACAAAACGCCACGATGTAACTATAGAGTGGAGGAACTATGACGTCAATTTGTATGCAAAAACCCGGAAGCGAGTTAGCATTTTAGCAGTTCCGGTTCCCTCGTCCCAAAGTCAATGGGTTTTTTGAATGGGGTTTCAGTAAAATCGCTTAAATAAGGTCCGTGGCAAACACAAACTCAAAATACTTACACGTTTTGTTCTACGACATAAAACACATCAGTTACAGCACACTTTTGAATTTTTAAATCGGTAATGCTTCTTTAAAAAGACGGTTGCTATCAAGTTGCTAAATGGGACTACAGGCGGTGTCGGAGACATTACACGTCATCGAGCTGATCTGGTCTGGAGCGCAGCTCGCTTGTGTTGGGCATTTGGATAGTCTGTTATTTAGGTATTTTCATGAATAGTATTTTATAGTTTGTAGTATTTTTCTAATTAGGAATTCAGATTGTGTGTAAATAATTCCTTCACTTGTAAAGGCTGTCGAGACAGATTCATTTGTTGATAATTTATTTTAATAAACAATATTATGAAGATACTGCTCACCAGTGCTGCCTGTCCCTTTCCTGCTCTCAGTAATGCAAACGTGTGAATAAATGTGTAGAAATACATGCATGTTAACTGTCATTTTAACGTGATCAAGTGATTTTCGTCGGGTTTTTCTTCTTCATCTGAACACATTTTACTGAGTCATAACTGCAATATTTACACTCCTCCGTAAAATGTACAGCATGTGACTGTATGGGCTGCTTTTCAGTGTATTTCGTGACAAAAAAGGAATTTTTAATGTTGCTATGTCCATGACGGAACTTCATTTCTGTCGTCTGTTAAGGTAAGCAGACTGTGTGCACGCGAGCAATACACTTATTTAAATATGTCTGATGATAATACTATGTAGGCAGATTTATACACAGTTTTAAAACTTTTAGAACAACCGTAAAGCAAAACAGATGTATTTCCCACGTAAAAACGATCCAAAAGGCACAGGTCTATGTATTTTTGCGTATTTATTTGTTTATAATATATACCGTGGATTATAATGTAATAAACAGAGAGATTAACTCTTTGTCATGGACATTATTTCTAAAAATAAGCTTGATAAGTCGTCTGTAGCAGGGTAGGGCTGACGTCACAGACAAGCGCCCCGAGGGCTCTGTAGTCCGTTTATAGCCTAATGTTAGCTTTTTAACTCTTGCGTTTGCATTTAAGATCCAAAAGTGTTCAAAGTTGTATTTTCGTGTGAGGATTATTCGGCTGGACAAAACGTGTAAGTTTCATGAACAGTGTTTGAACACGGAGATTATTATTTGCAATCTTCGAAAAGCCTATGGGAAAATCCCATAGGGATTTTCACGAGGGAACCAGTTTTATGCTAGCAGCCGATTAGCCTACAAAGTGACGTCATAGTTCCTCCACTCTATAACTGTTTTTTTAAATTATCACGCCAATCATTAACTAATAATTTAGTATCAGTTCAATTTGAACAATCACTGCACTGAACATTTTTTCAACACATGAATGAATCAAATAAACAAAATATGAAAAAATCCACATAAAATATTCCAAAACCACATTTCATATTTATTTCACTTGTTATTTTAGCTTAACAAAAAGATTATGTGGGTCTCCTGTAATTGTAGATGATTTGAGCAGGTCAGTCAGTCTGGTCTTTTTGGCTGGTATTAGACAGTTTTGGGCACTTTTCTGCTTGTCAAGCTGGGTGACCAGCCGGCCAGAGCTAGACAATTAGCTTATCCAGAAAGGACCAGAGAGAACCAGCTCAGTCTGGTTTAAATTTCATTTTAAACATAGGTAATCTGGGGTAGTTCTAGACCTATTTTTATTTAGTCTATTATTTTTATTTCACCCAAACAAAAAACTATCGTCAATAATTTAAACATATTGAACCATTTTATCCTCTGATATTGTGTGTGTAAGTCCATACGCACAGAATAACAAACTAATGTTGACAAAAACATTTTGAACCATTTCCCCCCATTTTTAGTTTGTGTGTTTGATAGTCCTTATATATGCTTGTACATTTACTGTAATAATAGTAGCGCACTAACCCTCTGATAATAAATTCATACAACTGCCCTGTAACATTTAAGGATTAAATATCTAAGTGATTGTTACTGATTTACTTTCAATGATTTAAAAGATAACTCAGGTTTGTTTAACATATCTAATCTACATGTAACCTTCAATAACAAAATGCAGATAGGCTACTATATTAGCTAAACCAACTAAATTTCATTACTCTGTCTACAAACAGCAGCAATTCAAACTAAATCATATTTAAGGATGATAATGTGATTTTCAAACATTGGAAACAGAAAACACAGTCCCAGATGTCTTCATCGCCCCAGTAGACCACATGGCCTGAACAGCAGCTTGTTTTCCACCACCCCCCAACTTCCCTTTCCTCTTTTTTTCACAAACCCACGGCCTGAAATAGTCATCCTCATTTAGCAATCTTAAATGTCCATGCAGGCTGAAGTACTCTTTAAAAATTTCCTAACATTTTTCTCAATTCTTGTTTGAGTTTATTCACGGTAATTCCCTTGTTGTTAATTTCCTGACATCTTTAGCAGGCCTCTAGCAGCTCACATCCTGTTACTGGACACAAGTGAAGTGAAAGGGAAAATGTTTAATCTCTCTACTTGCAGTTTTAAAATTTGAGCTAAACTTAACACTTCATGTAAGAAAAAGAACTGAACTGAAAAATATTTCCTCTTATAGCACTATTATTATTGCTGAAGTGCGGCTAATGAAAGAACCCAGTCCTGGTTCAGAATGTCCTAGTGGTAACCTTTCTGATTTGGGGTAAAATATAGTAAGTGGATGGTGAAAACATGGATCAAAGATAGTCTTTCTGTGTCCGAAAAAACATTTAATCATCACCCTTATTGAGATGGTTCACTCAAAACTGAAAATTCTGTGATTATTCACTCACCCAAACCTGTTTGACTTTCTTCTGTTGATCAATAAAGATATTGTTTTCCCTACTATGAAAATAAATTGTTACAGGTTTTCAGCTTTCTTCGAAATATCTTTTTTGGATTCAACAGAAGAAACTTTGAAATTACCTGAGGGAGAGTAAATAGTAAGTGTATTTTCAGTTTTGGGTGATTCCTTTAAAACTAAACAAATTGGTGTAATAATAGTGTTATTAACAATTCTTATTTTTCGTAATTTAAAATGTATGAAAAATAATAACTGTAGATAATACATAAACTATTTGAACAAATAGATTCGTTTAAATAAAATAAATCCATATTTAAAAAAATTATTAGGCTACTCTTATAATCTTTGGTCAATATATTTATTTTTGTAATAATATAATATTGTCATTCAGTGAAATGAAACGAGTATAAATGTTTAGCTGAAAGCTTGTTTAATGCCGATTATGAGTATGTAATAATCCTCATTAAGTACATTGCAACCGGTAGGCGTGAAATCCTCGCGCGCCTTCAAACACTACGTGCATTTCTCGTGCGCTCGTTGCTTTTGGCTCCAAAAGTGCACAGTCTGTCTGTCAACTGAAATGCAAATCGCCCTGCTGCGTGTATCTGTCTCGATACGTTATCTTCATGTGGGGGTGGGTAGCGTGACCTACGGCTATCCAACTCCACGAAAATCCGTTTATGTGTAACGTTCACCAACGATCGGCGCCCTGAACGAATGCTCAACATTCATCTCCGCCGCACCGTGAACACATGAGTACGAACGACACCCGTAACGTTCACCAGCGCACTGTTTGGCGGCTCTCAGCGCCAAAGACCGTTTGTTTTGGCATCCCAGGGAAGTGGGTTTTACAACCGCTGTTTTTAAGCCCTTTTAGACAGTCATGTGATTGTAACGTAACCCGACCGGAAAACACCGACGACCATCGCCGCCAATGCTGCGTTTGAGAGGAACAGAGCAGCTGCGAGCCCAACGGACAAGTCCTCCGGTAACAGACAGCAACTCGCCGAACTCCACACGCCCGAGCGGAGGAAAGGTACGTGTGTTTACACTTATCAACCTTTAATATGTGCGCTGTTTGTTGATTTATTTAGTTTAGTTTATTTCTTCGGTGACCACCCCTTCCCCCAGTGCGTGTGTGTCCGTTTCACGAAGCACCGTTTATTTTCGCTTCTCGCCTCTGATGCTCGCTCTGCTCCGTTCTGCCTTGTTGTTGTTGTGAATTTTCGGCTTTATTCGCGGTACGGTCGCTGGATCGGGTGCTGGTCGAGCAGCGAGCGTCTGCGCGTGATCTTATCAGTCATCGCGTTTCAGTTTTTGACGGTTTATTTTCTATTTGCGAAGGAAAAACAGATTGCGGAAGTGGTCGGTCTCTGCGGGAGATCTGTCCGTTCCACGTGTCTCCGTGGTGGGCGGAGCGAGTTTACAAACCCACAATGAGAGCGAGCTGAAGTTAGACGTGTGATAATCTGTGTATGAGGGATTGAATAGCCTCGACAAAACACCTGTAAACGGGTAATAAATGTCCTTTGATATACAAAAAGCTCACTGTTTGCACTTTTTACACACTCTATGGATGCTGAGTGGCTCGTATGCAATTAAATGTCCACCCAGTGAGATTTGTTTATGGAAAAAACTTAACACGGATAAAAAGTGAACATACTTCCGTGAAATAGCTGAAATTATGTTCACTTACCTGGAATATCATTTATCTACAATGATCTATTTGAAAGATGCTACTTCCTCATGGGTACTGCCATGTTGACATCACATGATACAAAGCAGCAGAGCTCATCAGTTCACTCATTATAAATTCATCCATTTATAGTATAGAATTATATATTTGTTATGTAGTATTGCTTTTTAAGAATAACATCGAGAGGTAGACATAGATAAGTTGGTCAAAGCAAAAAAAGAAAAAAGTTCAACAGCAAAATTCCTGGATAAGGCTTGTTACCATTATTCTGCTGATGAACCCCCACCAAAGAGTGAAAAGCATCATGACAAAATGACTCTTTAGTCCTTGACCACCCAATTAAGCATATACACTTTGCTAATAAATAATAGTCATACTAGTGAGACACAATGTTTTTTATTTAAATTCATATACTGAATTCATAACTTCCTTCTCTGACTATTCACTTTCTAGGGCAAAAATAGTTTGAATATGAATGGTATGTGGTTCAGTAGCTTTCGTAAAACACTTAAGTATCTGGTTTAGTTTCAGTATTTGATGCCACTAATTTGGTTTGTTTAAAGCATTACAACTTTTTATTGAGGTAAAGTTTGTTTTATATTTGCACATTCCTTTGCTGACAACTTGTGACAGGCTACTATGTTGTTTACCATGGTAATTTGAATATTCACGTCATATTTGGCCCTAAAGGTTCTTTAGATTCTTTTATTTTTGACAACACAAATCTTTTTGTTGACCAAACTCTTCTTAGTTCTATGTCTAACAAAGATATTCGCTTAGTTATTAATAGTTCTCGGATCTCTTTACCTGCTTGCATAGGTTTTTGGAATAATATATTTGATGGCATAGATTGGGAACAGTTTTGGCTTCTTCAGAAAAAAAATATTTTTATCTAATAAAGCTGTTGAAGTCTCGATCAAAATCATTCATAATTGCTACCCAATGAATACCAAACTAGCTAAATTCAGTAACAATATTTTCCCTAAATGCTCATTTTGTACTCAAAATGATGAAACACTAAACCATTTATTTTGGGAGTGTACTTACTGTAAAGTGTTTTGGGTTGACTTTTCCAATTTCATAAAAAAATTCTTATTTCCAAACTTCTGTATTTCCCCAAAAATTTTATTCTTTGGTTACTCTCTGAGTGTTGATCCTTCTCATTTTAAATATATTATTAATTTATTGCTTTTTTTAGCTAAATTTTACATCCATTAATGTACATTTTCAAAAAAAAACTCCCTTATTTTTTATTTTTAGAAAGGACTTTGAAATTTATGTAAACTCTTTAAAAGACTCTAACAATTACATTGCATGTAAAACGCTTTCTTGGTGTAAATAATTTAAACTTGTTTAATTTGCTGGAATTTTATTTATGTAACCCTCTTTGTCTTTTTGTTCATATTGTATCTTTTTAATGTTCTTCTTGCATAATAAAAAAAAGTAAATATTCGGTCTGAAATCAGATGCAAGTATGACTTCAAAACAGCATGAGCACTATTTATTTGACTGCGTGCAATGTTGTACTTTGATAGTCGATAGCTACTAATTAGGCATGGGCCGGTATCAGATTCTGATAGAATAAAAACCTTGTATAAAAATATCACGGTTTCACAGTATGACGGTATTGTGACTACTGCTCTCAAATATGCTCGTCTGGGTAAGTAAAATCATCAACTTTTTTCCTATTGAACACAAGGATATTATATTTTACAGTAAACATAGGCTAAATAATTTAAATAAAGTATTGACCGGCTATCTTAAATAGTTCACAAAACAGAATTCTTTACAACTTGAAAAGGCGTCTTTGGATATCCTTATTTTCTTTGCATATAAAATAAGTCACTGTTTATGTGCATAGCACATATGCACATAGCAGCATAGGATGTTGGTTTTTAATTAATTTGTTTCTCAATTGTTTGCTGAATCATGTACTGACCAGTAGCTTTTGATGAAGGGTCTATTTCTGCTGGAGAGACTGTTGCCCTAAAAAACTAAATAAAATATTTGTAAAAAAAAAAAAAAAAAAAAAAAAAACTTACATATAACTTAGAAACGGTATAAAATAATATAAATATAAAGTGTTTTTTGCTGTTTTAAAACCTTGAAAACGGTAATGGTCCCATGCCAACTGTTCATATGATTTCACTATTTAGAATTTCCAAATAGTACTTTTGTGGAATGATTAAGGAGAAAGTCAGATTGTGCAAATATAAAAACTTCGCCTCATCAGCTTTATTCCCTGAGGTGCAAAAATGTTTTCCCATTCATTATTTTCATAGTGAGATTTCTCTTAAAGTTTTCTAAACCATGAGTCTCAAATTCGAGCAGCTACAAGTACAATATTTTTTTAATTCTGATTTGAGCCATAGACGTTTATGAAAAACAAAAAGACAAAGATATGAGATGCTGTAAGTAACTTTAAAGAAGGAAAAATCTCATGTAAACCACTGTAAATGTCACCATTGAATTAAAATCAGAGCAATAATTATCTATTTGTTGGTTATGTGTGGTGCTTCATGGGATTGTGCACTGCAAAAGATCTCTTTTAGTATGCTTTGATCACAGTGACTCTTTGGTTGGTGCAGTTTTCTGTACAGGATAAAGGGATTCCTACAAAAAATTGCTTATGAATGTGATTGTTTCCAAATTAGGTTAAATTTATGGAAATTGATTTGTCAACACAAGCAACTGATTAATAACCACAATGCTCATAACAGGCCTGTCTAGGGCTGCACGATTCTGGCTAAAATGAGAATTTGTATTTTTTTTTTTTTTTTGCTTAAAATCAAGTTACGATTTTCTCACGATTCTGTGGATGTAAAATAAAGGTAGGCTATTATTTTTGTTATTTCTCAAATATATGGTAAAACAACAATAATTATATTAGACCTATGTGTAGGTCTACTGATACTGTTAAAATGCTAAATGTTGTATAGACTTGGAATAGTGGAATATAAATGAATAGACTTTGAAAATGTCCTGGTTGTTAATTCACAGTAATGTAATGACATCAGAATACAACTATTCATAATTCTGAAGTTGAATTATTATGTTTGAGACATATGCTTGTCATTTGTCATTGACAACATCAATAAACAATAAATACATTTTTTTTTACTGGTAAAATGAGACGTTTGTCATTATCAGATTCCCTCTTACATTATATTCAACATTATTTACATTATATTGGCTAGAGTAGTTATACTGACCCAGTAAACATTTGATTTTCATTCACAACACTTTGTGTTTGATATGAAAGAAAAAACATATTAAATGCTTGTCGTAATCATAACTTTAAAATGTGATATGATCATTTAAATGATGAAAAAATATACTTGGCTGAATTGTAGAAAAGCAGAATTAAGATTGTGCGTAGGGTCGAATCAAAATTGCGATTGCTAAAATTGTATTTTCTAATTTTTTAAAAAAATGATTGTTGATGAACATGCTGTCTGTGAAAAAAAAAGTTTGCATAATTCTGGTACAAAAACGCAGTATTTCACCTATAACACAAACAATGAATTAAACGCATTGAATGGAATCTGAGATTGTCCATTATATGTATGTGTAAATTAGTATTGTTTAATGATTAACCACGACTAATTGTGCACAAAATAATCTTTTGTATTTGCATCATATATGTGCATGTACTGTGTATATTTATGTATTATTTGTAAATGCACACAAATGCTAGTCTATATACTTTTGAAAAGATATATATATATATATATATATATATATATTAATATGTATGTATAATTTTATTATCATATATATTGAGGATGCACCAAAATGGAAATTCTGGGCAGAAACCAAAAAATCTGCATACACTCGGCAGAAAATGCTTTGTAATAATTATTATTTTACTACTTAACTGCAATTTTTATAGCCAATTTTCAATTTGTTTTGGTAAATATATTGATACCAATTAATATGACCTGCTGATACCAATTTTTGCTGATTCTGATTTTCTATTATATATTTATTATTCTATAATATAAATATTATTCTACAGATCTTAAGCATATATACAAACAAAAATAAAGTTGTCGTAAATTAGTTTTTATTAAAAATAAAATTAAAGAATTATAAAAAAAAATGTTTTAATTGAGTAAAATTGTATAAATATTCGTTATTAAAATAAAAAATAGTAAAATGATTAAGTGAATGCAAACTTTAATGTTGTGTGTGATTTAGTTGCGATTAATCGTTTATCAGCACTAGTGTAAATAACGGAGTGAAAAAAAAAAAACTGAATGTGTCAATCATTCAAAACCAACAAGGGTCCATATACTCCAAAGTCACTAGTGTGATTGGACGGTGAAAGGAGAACAAGCTCAATGTGAACTAAAACTATTGTTGAGAAAAGCAGTCCTTCCACACAGCTGTGTGACATTACAGCCCATGCTTTTAAAGACCACTGTCAGGCGTGTCCTTTCTCCATTCGAGATGGGTTGAGTGGAAGTAGCCTCAGGAATGCTGACTGAAGAACCAGCCATGTGACGCACAAAGCTGTGATTGACCTTTAGGGTAATGGACATTCAAGGCACAGAGGCTGCAGAGCTGGTTTCTGCTAGATGAGGGTTAATAACCTCAGGGATCAGGGCTCATTGTTCAAAGGTTGCCTCATATGTTTGGCCCTTGGCTGTATCTGAACACTCTGTTGGGGCCTGCGTTGTCAGGGTTACTTGTAGTCTTCAATGTAATTGCTGGTGTACAGCATGACTATTCACAATTATTCTTATTTATTTTTTTAACATAATTATTTTTTTGTATTATTTTGATTTAATAAATTGTTTGTTGCATTCAGAGGTCCTAAAATGACAAATATATCTTAGAAGAAAATGCAAACATTTAAATCATGGGTGAATTTAAAAACTTTGCACTCCATCTGGAGTCTTTTTGTTTGTAAATGTCTAGAGAATGCTTACCTGGATCTTGCTCAACTGGAAATGCTTAATCTTAAATGTGACTGAGAATCAGATTTGCCAGTATGTAGTAGTGTTTTAATTAGATTTTTTAGGCTTTTCTAAATATTTCTGTAGTAAAAGTATAGTGCTCATGTATTCTGGCAGTGCTCAGTTTTTGGGAAACTGCGCTCCGCCATCAATGCTATTTTTGATCTTCATATTCCTAGTTTATTCAAAGTACTTTATCTAGGAGATATTCCTCATAAGCTTGAAAAGGAGGATAGATATCTAATTAAGATATTTTTGGCAACAAGTAAAAAAGCTATAACCCGTAAATGGTATAAAGAAGACCACCAACTACAGATGAATGGTTCAAAATTATAGCAGAAGTTGAGGGAATGGGAAAATGACACATGCAGTTTGATTACAATAGGGTATATGCCGAGCTAGTGCTGTTCCCATGCTGATACACTTCCGGTGACCTGTTATTGTGAACTTTTTCTCATTTTATACAGTTCCTTATACAGCATCGATGTTGTAATGTCATTAAAATACATTCAGTTAAATAAACTTTAGCATTTATTTAGTTGCTCAAGCGTAAAATGAGACAAAAAGCCGTTTACTCGCACCTGCCCGTCAGAATCGGCAGGCTAACGCAGAAGCTCCATTGAATATACTGGGGTAAAATAAATGCTCATATAATAAAGATATGGCGGGGGAAATGTAATTTAATGCTGTGCTTCTTGTACAAGACCCACTTTAATTAAATCGGATATCACTCAGCTAGAGATCGCTGATTTTTAAAGAAAACAGACCTTAAACGCACCGGATTTTGCTTTGGCATTCAATTCGCCGGAAGCACTTAACCCAGGTTAATGGCAAATTAAAAGTCCTATTAGCATGCTTCGGCATATACCCCATTAAAGATCTTTCAAAAGAAATGGAGTAAATGGCAGGCTTTCTTCTCAACGACAATATAAATATCTATAATTGAACATTTACATGATTCCAGAGGTTATGCATCATTGTTGTATCAAATATGTTTGGCAGCCTTTTATTATGTTTTATTTTATACTTATTTATTTATTTATTTTCTTGACGAGATTACTTTAATATTTTCATATATGTACAGTATGTATATAGATATACATGTGTGGAAATGATGTATTTGTGTATGGACATACACACATATGTATATATGTATGACTATTTTTGTTTTTTTTGTTTTTTTTTGTTCCCACTGGTCATATGTTTTAAAAAAAAAATCAATAAAATCTCAGTATAAACAAAAAAAAAAAAAAAAAAAAGCATTAGGGCTGGGCGATTATTCGAATAGTAATCCATTATTGGTTCTGAATGCTAATTTTGATACATTTTTTCCAGGTCATTTTTTTCCAATTAATTTCTCTACTCTGTTTATACTTCTGCGTGAAGCAGACACATATGGTCGCATATCCCTCGCCGTGGCTGATGCAAGCCCTGAAGTTATTTAAAAAACAAAATTGACAGTTCGTTTTGGGTAACATATGTTTTAATGTCAGTTGTTCAGCGTTGATGTTCAATGAAAAATTATAGATAGTAGGTGGTGTGTAATGCACCCTTTATTCAAAAATCTTTCACTTGTAATATGTGCTTATATTTGCTGCTCAAAACTTGTCAGTAAATATGGGGGCAAAAATAATAATAATTGTTCATTAATCGTAATTTATTTAAAATGTTCAATTAATCAAGATTTTGATTTTAGGCCAAATCACCCAGTCCTAAAAAGTACTGTAATTAAATACCATCTCTTAAAACAGACATTTCCACTAATCTACATATTTCAAGTTAATCATGTCAAGTTAATTTATATTAGTAGCACAAACATGAAGAAAGAGTTGTGAGCCAAATCTTAATCCCTGTGGTTAGAAGTTTGTTCTAAAATGAACAATAGTACTACTCGTAATAGTTATACATATCAAGTGTACCTTAGAGTTTTTTGTTTTTTTCTGTTTGACAATACAGTGTTTTATTTTACATTTATAGCTATCCACTGCAGATGAAGTCTATGTCACCAGACAACTGAACAGCCTTCTTTCACACAGTCTTTTTTGGGTGCATTGTGGTCTGTAGTAGACAGGAAGTTGACTGTCATCTCTGGCCCCTTCTGTGTAGGTGGAAGTATGGAGCTGGCCAATCATGGTCTTATCCTTCTGCAGCAGCTCAACGCGCAGAGGGAGTTCGGCTTCCTGTGTGACTGCACGGTCGCAATCGGCGATGTCTTTTTCAAAGCACACAAGGCCGTTCTGGCAGCATTCTCCAACTACTTCAGAATGCTATTCATACACCAGGACAGGTAAAAGATTTAAATGTGCTTTTCAGAGTTCACTGTATCTACACTAGGTATGTGTTAAGATGCTAGTCTATTAATTATTCATGTTTCGTCTGCAAATGGCTATAATTGTCAAAGTGAACAATATTTGTTAACATTAATAAACAGCTAAAAATAAACAAATAAATTCACACACCACTACATTGCAGCATGACAAATGGAAATTCATTTTGAGATTTGGGAAAGAAGGCTTAAGATCTAAACAGTAAAACACAAGGTGTCACACACTTGCTGAATAGAGCTGTATCTGAAATCTCCCCATATATCCTCATTCAGGATTCCCTACATTAGTCCACTTAAATAAGTAAGGTAAAACAAGCTAATTTGAGCACTGAAGAGGAGCCATTTGGTTTGTTTGTTGCTGGTTGATAAATTCAGATTTGGTCTGTTTTTTGATTTCTGTCATGTATTCAAACATTGATTTAACAATAAATTCATTAAGTAATATTTGTTCGTAAATTTGTTTAAAAGAGTAACCCAACAATGACTGAAGCCACAAAAAAATCAGAGTGTCCATTAAATGGCATAACATTTTCGGCCAATAAATTTTCTTTGGCCAAAAATTTGGTACATTTCTAATATCAACACACTTGTAGATTCCCATTGTTGCACATTTTTCTGCTGTGGGATTGGCTTTTAGATCATTATATAGTAAAAAAAAAGTCCAGAGCTTATTATTGTTATTGACATACATTTTATAGCGATTTGATATAATATTGTTTATCGACCCAGCCCTATTTTAGACACCAGTACAAATTCGGATACAGCCAGGTATTTTCACTAAACACCTGAGAATCTCACACTACAAGTCTAAATCTGACTGTCAAACATGTTTGATATCGTCTTGATGGATGGAATCAAAAACTGAAGCTAGGAAAAACAACAATTTTTGGCCATCATACACTGCATTATTTTCATCTCGATTGGCTCAACATCTATGATTACATCTTTAGAGATCACATTTATCAGTGATATTAAATTATAAGTGTCTTTAAAGATTAACTTTACTGTTGGTAATGATCGCAAAGGCTATTTACATTTAAAATATTAATTATTCACTGCACAAATATTGATTTTAGATTCCAATTAACTATGCTCTCTAATCAACATTTAAGAACAATCATTTCTCTTTGTTTTTTTACAAATGAGGCACAATAAATGCATCATTTAGAAATAGAATTTTTAAAAAATTAGCAATTAACTAATTAGCTAAACAGATGTATTAAAGCTTTTACACAGAACAACAATTAGTTTTTGTGTATGTGTATACCAAACTGAATCTTTGTTGCTTTTGTCTTCTCAACCAGTGACTGTGTTCGCTTAAAGCCTGCTGACATTCAGCCGGACATCTTCAGCTACCTCCTCAACCTGATGTACACCGGCAAATTGGCGACACAGCTCATTGACCCAGCCCGCCTGGAGCAGGGGGTCAAGTTCCTTCACGCGTACCCTCTCATCCAGGAGGCAACACTGGCTAGCCATGCGCCTCAAGCACACCCTGAGGTCAATCTCCCTCTGTCATCCTCTCTTTATGGCATTCAGATATCAGACCAACAGGCCACGCTCACAAACCGGCTCTCAGCGAGAACACCTCTATCCTCACCATTCGACTTAGAAGGAACCGGTTTGCTGGATGGGAAGTGCTCTGCGGCAAGCAAAGCTACCTCACTGACACGGTCTGGAACCAAACACAGGCACGCTCCATCAGAACCAGAGGTAGAAGCATCTGCGAGTATCAGCCAGTTTCTGAGGGAAAGTGCCGAGCCGGAAACATCTGCAACTGAAGCGCCGTCTTGTTCTCTGAGCGCTAACACAATTCTACACGTGAAGCCCAGCATCATGAGAAGAACTTCCTCTCTGAGAAAGCATTACACGTGTCATGTTTGTGGAGGCCGCTTCACTCAGCGCGGAGCCTTACGAGAGCATCTGCTCCTGCACACTCAGGCTATGCTTCCCCTGGTGTTGGAGTCTGTCGGCACCACTTCCCCTATGCTAAGCGGTGGTGCCGCTACGCCCGAGGTGGAGGAAGTTCTCCGAGGCAGTGAAGCTGCTGCTGCCACTCCAATAATCGTGGATGTCCCAAGTGACAGTGAACAGCATTCATACTCAAAAGACTCACCGCATCCTGAAACTGCCATACCAGTCCCGACAACAACTGCGGTCAGTCTGTGCACTGCACAGCCTCAAGCAGACACACCGCCTCCATCTGATATCGCTGATATTGACAACCTAGAGGGTGCGGCCGACATGGAGCGGGAAGTGAAGCGGAGGAAATATGAGTGCTCGACTTGTGGCCGCAAGTTCATCCAGAAGAGCCACTGGAGGGAGCACATGTACATTCATACGGGCAAGCCGTACCGCTGCAGCGCCTGTGGCAAGAGCTTCTGCCGAGCCAATCAGGCGGCGCGGCACGTCTGCATGAATCTGGGCTCAGAGCCAGCCTACACCATGGTGGACCGGCAGAGCATGGAGCTGTGCGCGGCGGATGACTCCAGCCAGATGGAAGCGATGTTCCTCGGCTCGTCGGGGAGACCGTACAAATGCAATGTGTGTGAAATGACCTTCTCCAGCCCTAATGAGGTGATCAAGCACCTGTGCTTCAACCAGGGGGCGCTCTCTGGTGGAGCGGCTGGAGAATTGGGCGTCAGTGGGATGAACAGTGATAGCCTGGCCAAAGATGAAGGCTCGGATTCATCCAATGGTGGGCCGCTGATGACACCCATCAAAACTGAGGAGGTGTTTGTGGAATAGCTTCACACATACGTCACTGCGAAGTGTTGCTTTTTTTTTAAATGCGTTGCATATGAATTATGGGTAAATTATGAAAAGATGTTAAGCTACAGATGGAAGTTTCTGTTATATTGTTGTTGTTTTCTTCTACTGAAATCTGCATTCTGCTTTATGCTTTTATAACATTCAGATTTGGTTGGTATATTTATAACCGATTTATAGTACATTTAGTTCAACAAGTCAAACTCCTGCTTCATTCTGTGTTTCTTTGAAGGGTTTTATTGGTTACTTGGGTCATTTAGCGTTTTGGTTGTGGTTAAAGGTCTTCCTCTGTCTAACCGTCTACAGGAAGAGGATGTAGTGAACTGCTGGAATCCTGCAATCATCTCAGTGAAGATCAGACTTCTCATTAGATTTGCTCTAAAGAGTATTTATAATAAAAGCAAAACCTTACACCAACACTTCTTTTGTGGAAATTGATGCTATTTTGTGAGCAGCTAGGTGTGGGTTTTGAGTAAAAGATGAGCATTCTCTACCTCAACTGGCTTTAGACATGCAATACAAGACCAACCTGAAATTTGCATCAAAGGGTCGAGGATCAAAGTCTACTTTATCTTCCAGTGCCTCCGAGTAGTTTTTCTTTCTGACGCTGTTGCTAATTTCTCATTACATGCTCTGGGCTCACAAGAGCAAGGTGTAATTTTAGATAACATTCATGACGCTCAACAGGGATGATCAATCTGGCCCTGTGTTTATGTTAGCGTCAATGTGAAGTAGGATATATTTGCCTAATCATCCACTTTTCGTTTTTTTTACAGTACTTTTTTGTGCCAATAAACCCCGCCTAAAGATAAACATCCATGCTGTAGAATTGGTCAGCGGATCGTCGATCTGTTTGCGTTCCTCTCACTGTGGTTAAACATGTTTACAGTCGTGCTGTGTGTGTTTAATCAACTTATTATTACTGTGTGTGTGTGAATTTAGCAAACACTGTGGCCAATCCTACACCTGTACGTAACGTTGATTGAAGGGAGAGATTCCTGTCACTGATTTCATTTCGCAACGAGATGATTTGCTTGAATATGCTCTTAAATGGCTTATTTTTGAGTTTTATGTAACTTTTCTAAGTTTGTGTACAGTGCTTTATTCACAAAGAATTTTATAATCTCAAAGGTTGTATATTGTTTGACGCATTTACTGTAGAATATTATCCATTTTAGTGTAGTCTACATTTGGTTGTATTTCTGTTGTAACGAGACTGTCAGCGAGTTAAAGCACTGAAACATCCCTGACTACTCCACAGTTCTGCTTGTGCTACATCAGGAAACTTCTCCTGTTATTTTAAACCAGGTCCATTTATGCTCAGATTTCTTCATCTTTCTCTTTATAAGAGCACAGTGATTTCTGTTACTACTGAATAGCTCGTTAGACCACAGGAATAACCGTTGGCTTCATTTTGTTACATGTAGGGTTTTTCGTTTGTAATTGTGATGTTAATTTGGACGAGGTTTTATGTTCAATTGGTGTAAACGTATACATGCAGTCTCATGCCTTTTTTGTGTAGTATTGTTGTGTCTTCATTATTTGTACATATGCAAGCTGTTACTCTTTCAGCAGTTGTAGGGAAGGTTTGAGGGTGAAGGTTCTTCCTCAAACGCACAAACCCCAAAGCCAAGGCTGTGATCTCTCGCTCCTCAGGAACATGAACTGTCATCTCTGGAAAAAGAAAAATTCCTCATTTGCGTTTTCATTGTGAATAATGATAATAAATCCTTATGTTTTTGAAATGTGCCTTGTGATTTCTTAGAGATTTAAAAAAAAATTTACAGGGTGTCTTAAAGTCTTAAATTGACTGAAATATGTGTTGGGTCTTAATTCTTTTTAAACGGATCTCAATTTTACTTTTGGTCGTTTATAGCTATCTAATATTGGCCAACACCCACAATCACCAAAATCTTATCTCAAAAGTTTTAAATTTATTTAAAAAGGTAATTTTTACCTCTATTTACCATCATGGTTTCATTATTTTCCCTAAAATGACGTTTGTTTAAAATTGCTCCAAGTATTGACTGCTGAGGACACCGACCTGGACAGATTGTTGTGCATAGATTTAGTTTTATTCTAATCCTTCTCAACAATTGTTCATTTTTTTATTACTATTTTATACAAAGTTTATGTTGGTGAAAATGAAAAGTTTAATATATATATATATATATATATATATATATATATATATATATATATATATATATATATATATATATATATATATATATGTGTGTGTATATATATATATATGAAAAAATGTTGTATTATTAAATGTAATAAATTATTATAATTCTTTGATAGGGCAAATAAAAATCTTTTCCATCTGAGCCATCTGAAAAAAAAAAATAAATAAAAATTCGGCGTTCAGTCCTTTATGAGTATAAAATGTCATTTATAATGGCCTTAAATTTAACTTGGTGAAACCTGCAGAAGCCCTGTTTAAAGAAATTAAGTTAATACAGCCAACTATAAACAGAAACTATTGTGCTTAGTTACAATCATACTGGTTTGGAAAAAAATATTTTTGTGTACCACAAGATGGCGCCATGGTGTTGAGTTTTTGATGTGTTGTTTTTATTGTGTGAATGTCGCCACACCAAAACCTGCAACGTTTTTAATTTTAACCTTTCTTAGCCTAAATATTACCAGCCTTTTGTTTGAAAATGATATGTACTCTTAGTTTTTCTGTACAGCTATTTACAAAATTTTAACAGTAAGGATTTTGCAGAGCTAATAAAATATATATATATATATATATATAAATTACAAATTTGGAGCATTTTTATTTTTGATGGAATGGCTCTAAATAAAAGTATATCAGAAAACCATTATTTTAAGAGTGTAAAGCAGACAGGGAAGAACAAGATGAATTGATTTACACTAGCTTTATTTGAATGAAATATAGACATGATTTTGTATCCATACTATTAACAGCTTGAAGAATACAAAAAGAGGTGAGGCTCATGCTACTGGTAAATAACATTCCTTAATGCTTTCATTGGTTATTTTGTTAATATTACAATATGACTTAAGGAACATAGGTATACAATTTGTACAAATGTTAAAGAGCTTCACAGTAGACTGTATTATAAAAAGCTAAGAAAAAATGTGACTTGTTCATTCAAAAGCGTGACAGTAGCAGAGCTGTTTGTTTCTTTTCTTTCAATTGAAGCTTATGCAGTCTGACATTTGCAAACTTTCTAAACATTTAGAGTGACTGAATTTTGGCAAATGTATTTCCAAAAAAACTAAACATCTTTATAGGAGTTTTCCACATCCAAATAATCAACAACTGTCACAAGATATATTTGAAAACACGTCCCCATCATCCTGTATGCAGGTATGGCTATAGCATTTTCAGAGAGGTTGACAATAAGGCATCTACTATGACCTTCAATAAAATAACAGTCTTTGAAACAGAAATTAGAAATGTAAAAAACTATAATGATAAAATAAAATTCTACACTATTACCCACTTATCTGTGAATGAAAACCATGTGCAACTGTGTTGATGGTGGTAATGCAATTCTCAGTTTTCTTCTAACCTCTGGTGCATTTTAGGTGTTGAAACATGCATTTCGCTAAGGCCGTCAAACAGTGAAGTGCACATGTATGCTAAAGACAATAAAATGTCCTTTTCTAAATGTTCCCTACTCATGCAGGCGTTTTTATCATCATCTGTTTTCACAAAGGGTACCAATAAAAACAAAACCTAATTCAAATGTCACTCATCAATGGTGAAACCGCTCATGTGTACATGATAAATATACATAATAAAAAGACTAAATTTCACAGTAAGGGACGGACTGATATCTACAGAGATGATAATGGCTGGATATTGTTTCAGCGTTCGCTGAGTTTTACCTCATTTTCACATTACAGCCACTGCATTTATGCGCTTTTTCGTTTGCTACAGCTGTAAAAGGTGTATCTGTACCATGTTTGTTAAAATTACCTGTCTAAATAACACTGTGTAGCTTTACACCAGCATGACTTGATGTTTTTTAGAAGGGTCGAAGGTGTTGGAGAGGGTTGAGAGAATATTTTAGATAAATACAATATACAAAAAATAAAATAACAACCCTCCTACTGCGACACCCCACACACCCATACAAGAACCACACGTACATATTCTCTCATTTCAGAACAGATAAAAATAATAAAAATTAAAATGTTCATCATAAAGGTTATAGATATCTGAAGACAAAACAAAAGAGGAAAAGTGAGAGTTGAAGACATCCCTCGATGAATCCAGCGTGGCACGAGGCCTCATGATATGGCAGCTGAGTGATTGTGGATTTGGAAAGAAAGGAATAGAGGGATGAATGATAGAGAGAAGGGAGATTGGCCTTTAGTCTCTTGCTCTGGGATTTGGGACAGAGCACAGTCTCTAGTGTCCTTAATGGCCGCCACTCACTTCCTGCTTTCCGAAAAGCTCTGTGTGTCCCAGTCACATGACTGCTTTTACAGGCCGACTGCAAAACAGAAAAGAAAGAGGTCAGTTTGATGAAACTACATATTTAAGCTTTCTATTTTTGGTCTTAAATTGATAGATGACCCAAAATGGAAAATTTACAACACATTTTCATTTTTGAGGTGCACTATACCTTTAAAAAGATAGTATCACAAGCTATTATCATACCGCTATTCCTCAACCATCCTTTCTCATAAATGCACACAATATTCTTTCCATCTGCACTGCATCTTCTGTGCCTCCAACCACTGTCTCACTCTGTTTGTATGACTCAGCACAAGTCACCAAGGCAAAGGAGGCAGGGAGAGAGAGAGAGAGAAAGAGAGAGAGTTCTGCACCAAAGCTCCTGCTGGGATGCTATATTTCAGCAGCCTTTGCTGTACTGCAGTGCTGCATTAGCGCTCATCAAACATTTATCGGACACACCCCGCGCTTCTCCCTTCCTCTTCCCACTTCTGCTCACACTGTATCATTAGGGCCCATATCAGGTAATACTAATGAGCTATACTTGTTATTTATTTAAAGGTATAGCCTGTGATATGAAAAAAAAAAAACAACTATGAAAATAAAAGACCACTTCATATTTATCATCGGTTCTCTTGTTTTAAATAAAATATGAACTATATATATTATATTAACTTATAAAATATATACAGGTTTTCACATTTCTCGCTAATTCCATTTATATATATATATATATATATATATATATATATATATATATATATATATATATATATATATATATATATATATATATATATATATATATATATATATATATATATATTTATAATTTTTTAATAGATTTTTTAAATTACTACAATTACCCTTTAAGTTTTTCTTTAGAAAATTGACCAAATTACAGTACTAAATACGACCTTCCTAGTGTTATACAAGTGAATAAGAAATTATGTACTCATGCAAATAAATCTGCTGTAGACTGTAAAACTCAACAGTTAACTTTATCAAATCAGTAAATTGAGTGTAGTTAACTCAATTTACCCAAAGGTAATTCTATTAATTTTAAAAGAGTTTTGAAACTCAGTGTTGAAGGTAATGAGTAAATTAAATACCTCATAACTTCAACTTAAATGTAGTACAGTACCCACAGTACTTATATAGATTAGTTTTTAACCCAAATGGTTTGTTGCAATCGGTTTCTTCAAACGGTTTGAGTTGACTTAACTTACTGGGGATTTACAGTACTCAATTGGTTTGAGTTCACTTCATTTATCAGGGTTTACTGTGCTCAAATTGCTTCGTTTATTCAAATGAATTAAGTTCACAGTGCTCATTAGGATTAGTTTTTAAACTTGAGGTTTGAGTTACCTTAACTTATTGGGTTTTACAGTGTATAAGAACTATATTTGATCATACAGTGTATCTTTTCAAATAAATCAGTCCTCTAACTACATATTGAAGGCTTTGATGAGTAGAAGAGAATAAGAGAGAGCATTAGGGAGGGGGTGGGGAATTTTACTCGGTCTTTCAGCACAAGTTCATCTCTCTTCACACGGCTTCCCTTTAAGACCCAGCATACAAAGTGAAGGGTCAGGCAGCGGCATTCCTGCTTTGATATCAAAGGTCCCTTGGTTACTGGTACATGGAACAAAAGCTTTTTCATCTCACCAAATGGAAATCCACTCCTAATAAAACTAAGGTCCATTGATGTTTTTAAAAAGGCACCATGTAAAAGCTGTGGCAGGTTCACTATGGAATGTAGAACTTTTTAAGTTCTGTGATGGACAAAAATCCCTTTGGAAACATTTTATTTCTGTTTCTTTTACCATCTTAAATACAAATGATAAGACAACATTAAGAATGAAAAAATATACATAATAATAAATAAATAAAACTAACCTGCTCATGACACTGTGACAACCTCTGTGGAGACAGGCTCGATCTCATTCCCAACCTCCTCCGCTGCAGTGGCATTTGATGTCATCTCTGAAGCAGCCTCCAGTTTGGCAGGAACATTTTTAGCATCTGTCTTTTGACAGTCTGGACCTCTGGAATCTTCCTGGTTTGTTGAAACCTTGGTCTGAGGTTCTTCCAAGTCATTTTGAGGCCTGTCTTCTGTTGATTCCTGACCCTCTGAACAGTCTTCTTTCATGTTAGTCTCAGGTACATCATCTGCATTTATAACATTTACGACACCAACGTTAAATTCCTGTGCAGTCTCAATCTGTACAGCTGTCAGTGTTACTTGACACTGCTCAGCAACAACCTGGTCTTGACTTGCAACTGTAACAGATGTTTCTGCCGTCTTTTCTTCTGGTACAGCTTTTATCTCTTGCTGGATTTCTGCTTGCACTTCCTTGAGATCAGACTCAACTTTACTTTTTCCTTCTTCACTTTTTGTGCTCTGACTTTTCTCTTCTGCTTGCTTTAGTTCGACTTCACTTTTTGTTACCTCTGTTTCTTGATGCACATCTGCCACCGAGACTGAAGCGACCTCCTCATTCTGCGCTTTTATTTCATCTGTGATTGAGACCGGCACTGTTTCTGCAATCTGAATAGCTTCATTGACTATTTTAGGGGGTTTCTCTGTGACAATGCGAGTTTCTTCAACATCTTTGCAGACATTGTCGGATGCTGCTAGCTTGTCTGAACTTGATCCTTCCTCAGTTGTTTCCACTGAGATTTCATTAACTTTGACTTCTGCTGATGTGATACAGCTCTCCTCAGTAGTCTTCTCAAACACATTTTGCTCGCCGTGTGCCTCAGCAAAGTTTTCTACAACATTTTGAATGATCTCTTGTACAATAACACTGCTCTGTTTTTCAATGATTTCTGCTTCTGTTACTTGGGTTGCCTGGATTACTTCGGTTTCTTCTTTTACATTCTCAGTTACTTCCTCAAGCGCAACACTAAGTTTTGTTGAAGCTGCTTCAATGTTTCCCTCAACTACACCTTGAGCAGCGACAACCTCAACCTCATTCACTGCAACTTGTATTTTGTGGTCACCAGTGGAAAGAACAACAGGAACATTTTCCATAAGAGTTTCTTTAGCTATATCTGCTGAATGGGATTCTGTTGTCTCAGATATTGAGCTAACACAGATGGTCTCTTTGATGACTGCAAATTCTTCAGTGGCAGCGACAACAGGAATTGGATCTTCTGTAGATCCAGCAATTTGAGAAGCAGGTACCTCTGGAAGAGTTGCCATGACCTCCTCGGTAACGGCTGTGGAAACATTCTCTACAGATGCAACTTCAACTGTGGCAACAGTCTCTTTAACATCATCAAGTTCTTGCACTTTCTCACCTTCAGCAACAGCAACTTCAGTGACTTCTGCAGTTTGAGCACAGATTGCCTCTTCAACAGTTGCTTCAACAGGACCTGCAGACTCAATCTCAGGGGACTTTTCTGCCATCACTGGCTCTTCAAGGATTTCTGGTTCCTGTTGCACAGCACTGATCACCGCTACTTTAACTGCTGCTACTTCATGGATATCAGCCACAGTTTCTGCTATAGGAGTGTCTTTAATCTCCTCAAACTGCGCTTTCTCTTCAATTGCATTTTCTATGGGCTGATCTTTTAGCTCTGCCTGAACTCCGCTAGTTTGAGCCTCATGGACCTCATCCTCAGTCACAGTAACCCTTTCAGGCTCCTGTGTTTTTTCTTCAACAGCCACCTCTGTGACTAGTGGCTGGCTAACAACAGTGGCTGACTCTACTGAAGGCTTCTGATTGAGGCTTTCTTCCTCCACTGCCCTTATCTCACTAGTGTCAAGGCCAGTGCAAACAGCCACTGCCTCGTTTTTCTCATGCGCCACCAAGACTGTTTTCTGTTCTTTGGTGGCAGACTCAACCAGAAGAGCATCAGTGGTGATGGCAACTACTGTTTCCTGTTCCTCTGTCATAGTGACAGCCATGGCATTTGTGGTAACACTGATAGTTTCCACAGCTTCTTGAATAACTACATCAGTCTTCCTCTCTACACCATCACCAGGGACAGGGGTTGTCTCGCCTGATGTATCTGGTGATGCTGTAACACGTGAAACAGCAGAAACCATTTCAGTCTCTTCTACTTGTTCAAGGGCTGTAACAGCTTCTGATGTAAGCTCCACAATGTCCTCTGCAATGGTGTTGTCAGTGGATTTAGGTGTGGCAGCTGTGTCGCCTTCTTCAGGTATATCACTTAATTGGTTTCCCTCTGTTTCATCCTCAACATTTTCTACAGTGGTTGAGATCCAAGATGGTGATCGATCTTCAGCTGAGGCCTTTGCCTGAGTGACTGTTGCAGACTCCTGCTTTACCTCCTCTGCCTTAACTGCAGCTTCTGCAGATGGTTCGCTGTCATATTCTGAAAGAGGCACCACAGCTGGAGTATCAGAGTCATCCTCTGCAGAGCCGACGTCAGATGATACCTGCTCTTGCTTACCATTAGACTTCTTCTTCCTGCGTGGAATCAGTTTTCTCAAAGAGAAAGAGGACTCTTCTTTTGGGGTTTCACTGTCAGAGGTTGTCTGTTCTGGGCCTGAAGCTTCATCAGATTTGTCTTCTGCTTTAGCTTTCTTTCTGTGGGTTACCAGCCTCTTAAAGGACTCCCAGGTAGAGACAAGTTCTCCCTCTGGTTCAGGGGAAGAAGCTAAATTCTCATGGTCAGCTTCACCAGAGCTTACAAGAGGGGACTCAGCAGTCTTTATCGGCTCTTCTTCTGATGGCTGCACTTCTTCTTCAATTTTAGCTTCTTCATCATCAGAATCAGAAGTCTTTCTGGCCCTTTTTTTAGATGACCCCACACAAATAAGAGCTTCCCAGGACACAGATGTATCCATTTTTCTCTTTGGCTCTTCTGCAACAGATTCAGACTTCTCAGCTTTTGGTTCTGTCTTAGATTCTGCCTGTGACTCTTCTTTAGCCTCTTCTTTAAGCTCTTCTTTAGATGGTACCTCCTCTGATGGTTTAGGTTCATCAGCTTTCTCATCAGAGATGGCACTCTCTGTTGAAGATAGGGTAGAAGATTTGGGTTTGTCTCCAGGTGCTTCATCTTCACTCTCAGAGGGCCTTTTGACACGTTTTTTTGGAGTGACTAGTTTTTTGAAAGAGGACCAAGGTAAAATTCCTTCTTTCTTCTTTTCACCATCAGAAGTGACTGCATCACCATCAGGCTCTACTGCTTGGGCCACCTCAGCTTGAGCTACTTCCCCTACAACATGTTCACCAGATTCTTCTGGAGAAGATGCTCCACTGTCAGGTTTCTGGGGTTCCGTGGACTCAGTTGACTGGACTGTTTCAGCAGTTTGTTCACTTGATTCTGTTTGCTTTGACTCTGCATCTTTCTTATTCTTATGCTTTTTGGATGAGAGCTTTTTTAGACCTGCTCCTGTAAACAGCTTCTTAAGTGGGCTTCCATGAGCTTTTGATTTCTCTTGAGATGACAGGATTTCAGGTTCAGTGGGAGCCTCTTCTGAAATATCTGGCTTGTCACTTGTTTTTGCATCATCAGTGGGTTGGGTTGTTTCAACAGCTGGAGCTTGAGCAGGTTCAGTATGAGTCACAGTTTCAACTTCACTTGTAGCCTCAGCCTCTACTTTAAGATCTTGTTGCTCTTCTTTCTCAGTGGGAGTAACTTCATTGGTTGTTTCAGCCGTCGTTTCAGTGGTAGTTTCAGCTTTAGTTTCAACAGTTTCAGATGGTTTCTCTATCTGCTCACCCTCAGCTGGTTCATTTTCAGCATCAACTTTAGCTTCTTCTGTAGCCTCGGGAACACCCTCTGCTGTTTCCTCAGTTTCCTTAATGTCCTCCTCCGCAGGCTTTTCTTTGACATGTTCCTCATCTTTGGGCTTTTTGAAGCTTGCCTTTTTTCGGAGGTTAGAAAAGATTCCCTGAGTAAAAAATCTCTTAAAGGGACTTTGTGTCTCCTGAGAGGGTGGGCTTGTGGGCGATTCAGCTGGCACTTCTGGCTCTGGTTCTTTCTCTGATATTGTCCCTGTTTCTTCAGCAGGTTTTTCAGTTTCAATATCACTGACCTTTTCTGTCTCTGATGGGGCATCAACTACAGTTTGTTCTGCTGGTTCCTCTGCCTTCTCAGTTACTTCTTCAGCTTTGGCCTCATTTTCTGTGGTTTCTGGTGATTTTTCTTCCACAGACCTGTCCTCCTCTGGTGCAGGTTCCTCTTTCTTTTCCTCAGTGGCTGCATCAGCACCACCCTCTGCTTCCTTCACTGTCAGCAGTTGCACAGGCTCTGTCTTCTCATTCTTGTCTTTCTTCAGTGTGAATTTGAATCCAACGAAACGGAAAATCTTCTTGAAGCCCACTTCATTGGCCTCTTCTTGTTTTTCCTCTACCACCTTCTCTTCAGCAGTTGTAATCTCATCTGCATTTGCAGAATCGTCTCCCTTCTCTCCATTCATTTGAGGGGCAACCTCTTCCTGGTGCACTTCTATTGTTTCAGGGCTGTCTTCTTTTGGGGAGATGGTGTCCGTTTGACCAACTGAAATAAAACAAAAATGAAAAATTTTATTAAATTGCTTGCATAAATTTATTCACTTATACTTATGATACTTAATTGGACATCTAAAAAAAAATTAATCAAGTCATCACATTTCAAAGCATCAAGTTAACAGATTATTAAATAACATAACACTCCAAGTGTTTAAAATCGTCTGTGTGTTTCGTCTCTTGTGGATAGTCAACCCACAAAAAGAATTAGTTTAGAAAAACAGGTTTGTAATTATAATAATAAAAGCAAAATACATGATCTAGTGAGATGATTAACTCAAGATGGAGGACTGTGTCATTTGAAGGAAATCAGAGCCACATTTCTGGAAAACCTGCAAAAAAACATTTCCCCCCTTACAGATTTAATCAGGCATATGATGGCAATCTGATATTAAGTTTACATATTCTGGTCTCCTGCCTGTAAATGTTAACCAAAACTATAAAACGGGGGTGATGACAACAGTTAACTTAAAAGCAAACAGGGTAAATTTCCATGTAGTAAGCTTCAGCTATGCAGGATATGTTGCCAAACTTTTTGGACTATGAAACTGACCTGATTTAATAAAACACAGCAAACTCATATCGAAGGGGCTTTTTTGTGATAGTATTTTACTAATATTAATCAGCATGTGAGCACAGTATCATCTGAAACAAAATGTAACTAAAAGCACAACAGGTGGATAAACAAAAAACACAAACACACACACACATTTATAATGTCTTAAATTCCTCACTCGTCTATCTGTGTTTTGACAGGAGTGGGTTGGTTTTGAGGGTGTGGGTCTAGGCACAGGGAGTCATGTTCACATATAGTGTGGGCCTCCTAGAGGCCCAGTTTCCCTTTGACATCCAACCTAGCAAGGGACTGCTCACATCTGGCTCTGCTTGCTCTTGCTTTGGGGTCTGAAACCCACCCAGTGACTTTAAAAACAAATTCCAAGCATTTTTAATACATGGATATAACATTACTTGACATCCTACACAATTGCATGACACAGGCCTAGATAACGCAAACACATTTACCAAACAAACAACTTATGATTTATAAAACGAAAAATTATAATACCTATTAAAATAATCATATTTTTATGTGACTGGTAAAGTCTTACCCCACCCATAAAAAATTACAATGAAACAACAAAATAGAATAAACTACCAATGCTCCTAATCGTGCCATGGTCACCCAGTGGAGAATGCATTTACAATCTTACATTAGCTTATCCACCTTCAGTAAGTTTAAATGAAGATAGCTCTTCTGTGGTTTCAAAGTATGCTATAAATGAAGAGAGGCACTAATCTAATACCACAATTCAATGTGATACTGGGGTGCAATGGCATTCCCATCCCCCTACAAAACAACAAGCCATCCCCCCCACAGACCAAACCCAATTCTAAACTTTAGCTTAGGAAGACTGTATTGTGTTGTGCTCTTTGTCTCCAAACGGGCCCCTGGTTTTTCCTGCTTTAGCTAAAAAGGGTGGGGGGCCACACTATTGTCTGTCCTGGAACCTAAACTACCATGATGAAATCCTTGCAGTAAAATGGGAAAGGGGCATTATGGGAAAAAATTTAGAATGACGGATAGAAAATCTTGATGATATGGAAGACTGATTACTGGACAAGCTGTAAAACTTTTGGAAAAGTTTGGCGGTATCTTAAGGGGCAATAAAAGTTAGGTAACAATTAGAAAAATGAAACATTAAACTATAACATGATGCTGTTGCCTCACACAGCTGGAGACATGTCTGTGCAGTGTGTGTGTGTGTGTGTATTTAATTTTACTTGAGTATGAAAGACAAAGTGGGTCATGGACCATGAGTAAGCCATCAGTCGCCCTACATTTGCCTTTGTCTCAGATTGGGGAAACTCAAGCCAAGGAATTCGATAGCGTGTCTGTTGTGGCTGTTAAAGTGTAGAACTGTGGGTGGGTGGGGGCAGATGCCATCTGAAATCACAGTAGTTTGATAGCTGGGCTCTCAAGAAAGCTGGGGGAAGGGTGGATGTTTGTTGAGATGGGTCTGAGGTAATGGTCAACAACCCCCTACCCCTTGCTGTTACATGCAAATGCAGGCTGTTCATTAGTGGAATCTGTGAGTTTAGGGAAGTTGCAGAAAGAATGAGCAGTAGACTGACTGCCGGACCCCCACCAGGCCAACTACCCCACCTCCCACACTAAATAACTATACTTTAGTGACTTGCCCCCTTTGACTCTGGTTGAATGAACAATCAAAATTTTGTATATGATACTATCAATATCTACTTTTAGAATGGATTGTGGTGAATAAAAACCATTAAGATTGCAAAAATTCAATGAACCTGCAATGTGCTGTGTGTATGTATGTATATGTGTATACACAGTTGAAGTCAAGATTATTAGCCCCTCTGAATTATTACACCACTTGTTTATTTTTTTATTTCTGTTTAACAAAGAAAATATTTTTTCAACTCATTTCTAATCATAATAGTTTTAATAACTAATTTCTAATTACTGATTTATTTTATTTTTGCATCGATGACATTAAATAATATTTTACTAGATATTTTCTCTACTATACAGCTTAAAGTGACATTTAAAGGCAGGTTAGGGTAATTATGCAAGAAAATGTAAGACGATGGTTGAAAAAAAATTCGAAAGGGGGCTAATAATTTTGACTTCAACTGTGTGTGTATATATATATATATATATATATATATATATATATATATATATATATATATATATATACACACACACACACACACACAAAACAATTAAAGCAAATTAAAGTGTAATTAAAAACTGAGATAAGAATCTCCATACATAAAGCTTAATAAACATTCACAACTAATCAAAACTCCCTCTGAAGTCATGTGCAGAAGGTAATCAATTCCATACACACACCCACACCACCTCTAGAGAACCCTGACTAAGATCTGAGGAGCTTAAAAACTCATTAAAATTCCTGAAAAAAGAAGGACATCTGAGACCACTGAACCCCATCAGCTCTGAAACTTCCAAGAAACCACTACAGTACATGAATGAACCCACCAAACAGCTTGCCACTTTCTACATAATATCAACTCACAGTATTAGACTCAGGCTGATCCCCAATACATAAAGGAATGGATCACACTGAAATTTAACTTCCATTATATTCTCAGTTACAACAATCCAGCATCAGCTTTTACTCTCCACATAAAAAAGATAATTTGAAGAAAGTTTGTAACCAAACATATGCTGGCCTTCATCAACTTTCTTGGTATTTATTTCATATAACTATGAAAGTCAATGGAACAACACTTTGTTTACAGGCATTCTTATAATTATCTTATTTTTTGTTAAAAGAGAATGGAACGCACAAGTTCAGGGTGAACACACAATCATGACACAACTTCAATTTGGGGATGAACTATTCTATTAATGGTTAATGCTTTCAAGTCAACACCCAAGAACCACTGTCCACATGCAAAACACTCAAATGCAAAAAAGCATTATATTTCAGTGAAAAACTGAAACCTTCTATGAACCCTTAATTCATCATAAGTTCTATAAGACCAAGACGCAAGGAAACACAAAATAACTAAACATACAAACAAACAAACAAACAAACCAATCTGGAGCAGAAAAAAATTCTTTTGAAAAAACGATTCAATATTTTCAGATAAAAACAGATATGGAACGACATTACACTCTACACAAAGATGCCAGAGTACATATTAGATGGCCTTAATTCAATTTTGTCCAATAAATTTCTTAAGATGACCTAATAATAATAAAAAACCCACTAACCATCTCCACCAGCCTCAAATATTGACCACAATTCATAGATTTAAAATGCATCTTACCTGTTAGAGTTATTGTCCCAAGCATTTCAAAAACTTTTGCAAACACTTCTCAGAGAAAAAAATAAAAAAGATTTGCCGTTTATCTTTCGCTTTTTATACGCCCCTCTTGTAAAAGTCCTGCTTCCTCTCAGATTATGATCAGCTGATTGGCTTTAAAGCTACACTCTTGTATCCCTCTCTTTCTCTATGATGTGAGCTCGTGTCGAGGCCAGGCGTCTCTTCTTCTCGGTTTCTGGGTGAGAATGAGGAGAGCGGGAGGGTAACACACATTTCAACAGACAGTGACACATGTCCTATGTGGGACCACCCCACCCATGCCCCTCATAACCCCCCACTCCTCCTCTTTTTCAGCTGTTCTCCACTCAATGAGTTTCCCTCTTCCTTCCCCCTCCACTCCTCTTCACACACTCCCTCCACCCACTTACTTCAAACTCCAACATTCCTCTTTCCAACTTTTTCTTTCCCTGTTTAAAATGATTGTCTAGCAATAGCTTAAATGTGTGTGTGTGTGTGTGTGTGTGTGAAGGGAGGAGGGATTACTCATGTTATCAAAGGCATTTTTGTACATGATGTTTTGCAGAACTCCATACACCCAGACTCGTCTCTCATTTTAGATGGTGAATTCCATATGACAAAAAAATGGACAAGGGTAAAATGAGGATCTCCACAGTATGTTCTGATATATCTTATCTGTCCGTTGACCCTCTTTTTCATTCTACCAAGAAAATAAAAGCTTTGCTCTTCAATATTAAATTATGCAGTGTTCAAAATGAAAACTTTTACCACATCTGGCAAGGGTGAGAGACAAAATAAAATGAAAAACAATTCTTAGATGCTGTAAATAAAGATTAAGAGATTATGATTACAAAAAAATACTAATTAATTCAACGTGTTGAAACTTACAATCAATTTCTTGGGAAAATGTTAATGAAAATCACACCATTTCATTCTCACCAGATGATTTTACCAGTCATAAATATAATTATAACCCGTATTTTTGCACTAATCACATTTTTTATTTCATTTAAGTTGGATTACACCGTAAAACGTGGTAAGCTTTTAAAGTGATGAACTGTTTTTAAACAAATATAACTAAAAAAAGCTTTGCTTTTATAAATTGGTTAAAATGATTTTATGAAATAAAACATTTAGTTTGTTTAAGTGGTA